CCCCAAAACCCCAAAACCCCTTATTCTCAAAATTAAGAGCATCAAGTCATTTACGAATATATTCTATTCATAAAATTATGATCAATATATATTGTACTATCTATCGCTATATTTTATTTTATCATGCATATTTTGAACTTCATCATGATCGATAAATTCCAAGCAAAACATTGCTACACACATTCCTCCCTAGAATTTATGTTTACCAGTAGCAAAAGCAAAATATCTATGATTCGGATCTAGTAAATTTTCACGCATTTTACGATCTTAAATATCGCCATCATCTATTAACATCAAAATAAGAGCTTCCATTGGATGGACTGAACCAAATCCCACATTCTCAGCTAGCATTCCAGGTTCTTTTTCTGGATAATACTCTCTAATTCGATCGTACATGTTTAAGCCAAGACTGCTTGAATGTCCATATAATCCCACAAGCCCAATATCATCAACATGATCTTTGCAGGCACAGTACATCTCATGTGACCATAACAATGGATCTAAGGGTTTCATTTTTCTTAAACGAGTTACACACTCCTCTAAAGGGTAAATTCCCTCATAGGTTTGTAATGATTTTGATTTGTCAAGAGTCACATATATATTAGCAGTATCCTAATTCCCCTTTCCATCTGCATTAACATATCTCATTCTAAACTTTTCAAGATAAAACTTCGCGAATAGTTACGGTGAAGTTCTTGCCATGTTGATCATCATAAATGCTTCTTTAAAGTGCTCTGGCATATCAGGAAATTAACTCAAAGAGGGCAGGTTATTTTGTCTATAGAAATCTATTAGGTCTATTTTAGTAGGTATTTCTCTTGCAAAATCTGATTCTCTAACCTGATTCGAGGCTTTTACTGATAGTTACTAGTCTTTAAGTAGCATTGATCCTGTTAATTATTGGCTTTCGGCAGGGTATATCTATGAATGATTAAAGCCAGAAGTGTCTCTGTCAAATAATCCATCGTCATCTTCTAATTAATTTCTATTATTATTATTCATACTTCCTTTCATTATTGACCCTTAAGATCTGCTAAAAGAATTCAATAAATTTGATGCATTTCTATTGTTGAAAGATTGATTTCTTTCAATCAATGAGGCATCCATGCCAACACCTCACATTGAAATATCTTGATTTTTATCGGCAAAAGACTTCTTACTCTAGCTTTGATTTATTGCTTCAATTGCTTGCTTATTAACTCCACTAGCTTTCATTGTTAATTACTTATCTATTTAATTTATAAACTTAAATACTTAAATTATTCCAGAAAAATGATTAACTTTATTCTTTGAATTCATAACAGATGGGGTTTTGGGGTTTTGGGGTTTTGGGG